AATGTATAACTTGCTCAGTGCAATGAAGGGACACCACCCAAGTCAAGTGCCACTTAAAAGGATAATACTTCCTCCTTCCTTTCTTTGCATTAATCCTTTGAGGGACTGTCACCTTCATCTTTCCCTACTTGTGCACCAATTGTGCCCAAACGAGCACACAGAAGACTCCTCACTGCACGTAAAGGGATATTGACTACCTTAGTTAAAGATATCTTTCTTATGCCTGCAGATTTAAACCTTGCCATCAAATTTTGGGGGCCCAAAGTGATCTAGTTCAACCTTTGATAGTTTTCCTTGCTCACTGGGGACTAGAAACAGATTGAAAAGCAGGCCTGCTAACACTGATTGAGATCATGCTGTATGTGTTGTTTCTTTGCTTAACCCCTTCACGCCTAATCTTAAAGCCTTAGTAAAATTTTACAACTTTGACCCGTGTTAGTAAAACTACGTATCATCACAACTACTTCGTACATCCAGATGAATTCTACCTTGTTTGTTTCAGGACATATCGGGCTTTCATTTATTTGGTGGTAAATGGTAATGGATAGCTCCTACTTTTTTTTATTATCAAAGATAAACTGGCCTAAAATAGTAAAAAACTTTTTTTTTTAAATTTAGCTGCGTGCTTCTTGTTACTACCATAACCTACCACCAAAGAGCAACCCAAAATAAATTTTCCAGCTCTTTATGATTGCAGCAATACCATATATGTGTATGTTATTTGTTGTTTGTACCCGTAGTACAGCCCAGAAACAATAGTGCACATTGGTTTTTTTCACATAAAATACACTGACACCAACTGACACTGATACCAATTAAGAAAAAACCTGACCTTTGACCCTAACCAGGGGCGGACTGACAACTCATGGGGCCCCCGGGCAATAGGGGATCATGGGGCCCCTGTGTCCTTGCCTAAACTCAAGCCTATGAAAAAGGTACCGGGGCATCTCATGGGGCCCCCTACTGACCCCGGGCCCTCGTTTCCAAATGGTCAGTCCGCCCCTGACCCTAACCTTAACCCAAACACTAACCCTGGCACTGAACTAGATCAAACCTTGAACTAGGTATTTTTTCTTTTCTTTTTTTATATTTATTTATTTATTTTTTTACAGACAGTTTTTTTTTCTCTCTGTAAGGAGAGAGAGAAACAATGTATCTCTCTCCTCCATTAAGAGAGAAAAAAAAAAACAAGGGGGGCGGGCATCACAGTGACTGATCTCTCTGATAGCCAATCAGAGGCTATCACAGTGATCATATAACCTGGAATCGGGAGTCCCGGGTTCCGATCATTAGAATGGGACCCGGGGCTCTCAGTGACACCCCGGTCTTTGTGCTGTAAGTGCGCTGTACGGCGCGCTCCCAGCACAAAGACAGGTGTGCAAATATGTGGCCCCACGGAAAAAAAAAAAACAGTTCTGTGAGGTCACATATTTGTGTGACTTTGGTGTGAAGGGGTTAAAGTTGCTAAGAGTGACAATTGCAGTTACACACACCTATACTATTTTGTGTGCTGTTTCCATTGACGTTTGATAGAAACCTCATATCCGTTTACTTCAGTCTGTCAGTCAGTCTACTTTCTGGTGGTAATGTACACTGGTTAGGAGATTACTGTGCTGTCAACAGGGGTTGGGCTTTCAGAAAGGGGTCCAGATTGACAGGGAGCCCAAAAACTACTAATAACGGAGTAGTGCTACAGGTACATGTAACATATTCCCACTCCTGCAGCTCTCCCCTGATCCCCGCCCCTTCCCATGACAGTGGGCAAGGGATCTTCTTCATGTACATGCAGTCACTATTTGAAAAGAGCATGGCCGTGTGGGGCTGTGCCCACACAGCAACGTCATCCTTTAAGTACCCAATGATATGCAATTCCTTTTTACAGAATGAAGATGTGTTATGGTTTTTTTCTGTATAGCCAGTTGTATTCAGGGAAATTGGCCGCAAATGGTATACAGAAAATCACTCTGTGCAGATCTTCAGAAAATCTTAGCCTCAGTTATAAAACCTAATGTACACAATATCTGAACAATACAACCTTTGCTGATTGGGTGTGGCTTATATGCAGCGGCTGGGGACTAGGGCAGCTTTAACAGAAATAATACTTAATGCTAGCATTGTTCTGTAGAACATTGTTGACACTTCCCTTTTACACTCTTTCCAGCAGCATTGTTTTCCTGTGCTTGTCACAGTAAATTCATTTACTGTTCTTTGAGGCTGAATTCATACTTGAACGATTTGTAGCTTGAAGCTAGGAGCTCCAAAAACATTCAAACTTAAATAATAACTGTCCTTTATGGTGTCTGTTCACACTTGATCACGTGAACAAGCACTATAGAGAACAATTGATTTTTTTAAGTTTGAGTGTTTTTGGAGCTTTGAGCTTCAAGCTACAAATCGTTCAATTGGGAATGCAGCATGAAAGGCACGCCATTATTAGCAATAATACAGGGTATGTTTAGCCCTGGTTCACACTGATGCACTGCAGAATTTACAGCGTTTTCAGTGCGATTCCACACCACATCAGAATTGCACCCCATTCATGCGAACTGCTGCAGGTGTATATGTTAACAACACACCGAAAGCGGTCCGCAAAACACAGTGCGATGTGCATTATCAGGTGTGAATACCTATGCAATCCGATTCTAGTGCGGACCCAAAAAAGGGTCCTGCACATTTTTGGTGCAGGTGTGGTGTGAATAGAGCCATACAAAATGTATGGCTCCAATCACACTGCATACAAATTGCAAGTGATTTGCACAGGAATGCGGTGCGGTTCCTGTGTGAATTACATGCGATATACCGCACCGCACATATGTGAACCCCGGCTGAAAGTGGATGTATTCTATTTTTCTGTGAATTGAAAAAAAACATATAAAGATTCCAGCTTGATGTAAATAATCATAACAATACTGTATGTCTTAATCTTTTAAAAGTCTTGTTTCATTGTATAGTTTATGGTTATACACCGATCAGCAATAACATTATGACCATTTACAGGTAACGTGAATAACACTGATTATCTCGTGATAATGTCATCTGAAAGTGGAAGGGATATATTGGGCAGCAAGTAAACATGTTGTCCCTGAAGTTGACGTATTGAAAGCAGAAAAGATGGGGAAGCTTAAGGATTTGAGTGACTTTGGCAAGGGTCAAATTGTAATGGCTAGACAACAGGGTCAGAGCAACTCCAAAACTACGGGATGTTCACAGTCTACAGTGGTCCAAGGAAGGAAAACCTGTGAACCGGCAACAGGTTCATGGGCAGCCAAGGTTCATTGATGAACGTGAGGAGTGAAGACTGGCCCCTGTAGTCCAATCCAATAGAGGAGCTACTGTAGGTATAATTTCTTCAAACGTTAATGTTGGTTTCGATAGAGAGGTGTCAATACACACTGTTCATTGTAGTTTGTTGCATATTGGGCTGGGTATCCACAGACCGGTCAAGGGGCCCATGCTGACCTGTGTTCACAGCCAAAATTGGCTACAATGGGCACATGAGCATCAGAAATGGACCACGGAGCAGTGGAAGAAGGGGGCATGGTCTGCATGAACTCAAGAATAGTTTGAGGAACACAAAAATGAGTTTGAAGTGTTTACTTGGCTTTCAAATTCTCCAGATCTCAGTCCAACTGAGCATCTGTGGGATGTGCTGGAAAAAATTTGATCCAAGGAGGCTCCACTTAAAGGACTTAAAGAATCTACTACTGACTGCTTGGTGCCAGATACCTCATCATACCTTTAGAGATCTAGTGGACTCCATGCCTCCATGGGTTATGGTGGGTGGTCATAATGTTATGGATGATTGTGTATATGGACATGGGGACAGCTATATTTGCTTACTACATATTAAAGCAGAACTATAGACACATTTTTTTCATTTCGGATAGAGCAAGGGAGGGTTATAACCCCTGTCAACTTTTTTGCCATTTGGCTTTTGGTTGCTGTGTGGCACTATTTACCTGAATAGGTCACGTTCTGTGGTGCTACTGCCTGTCAAACGCAACAGGGGGGGATAATTTTTTTTCTGCAAAAAGCATTTGTACCTCCCCATCCATCTGCCTTAGCCACATAGGGAGGGGCAGTAAAATGTGTAAAAACTGCCTATTTTACCACCCACAAATGCAAGCGTAAACTAAACCTTAGTCAGTCAACTTATTGTAGATAACATACTGCCTATGTGGCTGATATATTACGTCAACGGTTGCTAACAGGCATTGTAAGTAATCAAGCCTGCATCTAGTGTCCAGTCAATATTGTACATTTGCATTTAATTTCATATAATAACAAACACATGCAAGGGCAAGTATGTAAAGATGCAAAAGTCCCATCAACAATGACCTTATGGTAAACACTGCAAATACAACTTAAAATATGCCTTCATTAAGAGTTTATTATACTTTTTCATTAAAAGAAACAGGCAAATCTAGGCACATTTTTTTCCAGCTTGGCAGCAGCTTTAACAACATTTGGATGATCTGTGGGGTTTATTTACTAAGTTGGAGAGTCCAAAATCAGACTCATTTTGCAAAGAAATCAATCAGCTTCTAACCTCAGCTTGTTCGTTTAAGCTTTAGGCAATAAAACCTGGAAGCTGATTAGTTTCTATGCAGAATTGAGCCTGATTTTTGACTCTTCTAATTTAGTAAATAAAGCCTTGTGTGCTTACCTGTGACCTCCGTCAAATGTATCTTTTGCCATTGCTTCAACATAGATGAAATATCACTGAGAGAAATAGACAAGTGACAGGTTTATTCACTGACTGAAGTTTTGTGCTAATACCATTTGCCTTTCTGAAGCTTTAATTCTTAAAAAAAAAAAAAAAAAAAAAAAAAGTTAATAAATCAACAGAGAAAAAAACATTTGTAATATCTCCAAAATATAACCTCAAAAGCTTATAGTATACAGTAGGTAGCAGGCCTGGAGGAAAAGCTTTTTCATTTTAACAAGCAGGATTTGAACTTTACTGCCATTGCATAAATATGAACCATTTTGTTTTACAGTGATTTCTCCACGTCGTTTAAGAGATCGTGAGCTTTTGAAGAGAAAAAAAGAAGAGTCCCGGGAAAAAGATACTTACTTGTGGGTTTTGGGGTAAATTTTTGGGAAATCAAAATATAATCTGAAGCATGTTCACCACATGTATTCACGCTGACCGTACGCAAATGTGTGGCCTCTCAACGGCTGGGCCTTGAAGCCAAGCGGCCGCATATTTGAGTACCTTTTGTAAACAAACATGTGCTGAGAATGCACGCTCCCATCACGTGTCAGTGTCCCAAGGAAAGGTCTCGATCTCTCCTTGCGATTGGAACCTTTCTGATCATGTGACTGCTGTGACAGCCAATCACGGCGGTCACATGACCCTAAATCCTGCCCCGCCTCCCAGAATCAGAAACCTCTTAAAGGGCCTGGAGGTGCACACGTGAAGGGGTTACAGTGTAATTAAAGGTAAAGCAGATTTTTTTTTTTTTTGTTTTAGATAGTATAGAGAGGGATTAGACCTCGTCAAGTTTTTATTGCTGTCTGTGCCCCTGTTAGGGAGATTCACCCTCTCTATTTGTCCTGTTTATCATTATCATCGAAAAGTTTGGGTTGACACCAGAACAGGAAAAGAAGGGAAATCTTTCAATGCAGAGTTCTATTTGACCTTGGAATTCCCTCACTTTGGAGAGATTTTCTCTCACTTCCTGCTTGGCTATAGGACAGAAAAAGAAGGGAAATCTTTCAATGCAGAGTTCTATTTGACCCTTGAATTCCCTCACTTTGGAGAGATTTTCTCTCACTTCCTGCTTGGCTATAGGACAGGAAATGAAGGGAAATCTCTGCAATGAACACAGATGGCAAAAAAAAATTACAGGGGTTATAACCCTTCCATACTCGATCCAAAATGAAATAAAACGTTTTGCCTATAGTTCTAGTTTATGATTTTGTCTTGTCTGACCTGCCTTACAGTAGCCAAAGACTGATGCTATGGAGCGCTTCTGCAATGGCACCTTAAATATAGTTGGAACTTTTCTACAATGTAAATGTTGAGCATTTCTATGACCTGGCTTTTCTACTAACAATAGGTAGGAACGTCTTTATATACATGCATCCCAATGCATTATCCACCAATGCACCTTAATCCAGAAAAAAAAAAAAATCAACATACAGTGTGTATATTGCGTGCTGCACTGCAGTGTAGGTCCATTAATACTGTAATTCTGCATTGGAATGCCATTTGGAATGAAAGGCACAGCTAAGCACTATGCACCGAGTGGTATGCAGTACCATGCACTGCATTAATGTGCATTAAAAAACACAGATGTAAAAACCAGCCTAAAAGAACTGGGGATACAAATATGTCAATACTCAGCTGAAGATGAATAAAACAGACCTAGGGGTCCTCCATCTTACAAATATGTCAATACTCACACTCAATAGTAAAAAATCCCAGCTGAAGATTTGAATATGTCACACATACAGACCTAGTGCTCCGAGTGAGGAGCTCAGGTGTGCTTACATCAGATGTCCAATCCACTCCACATCAATCACATTGACAAAGAACAAAGTAGTCCACACTCAAATAGTAAAAAGAAATCCCAGTCTAATTTATTGATGAAAAAATATTTGCACCCTCACTGTTGCTACTGAAGAGCCAATGTCCAACTCTGGATGCAGAGGGACAGTTTTCAGGATTAAGGGAGCTGCTGTACATTCAGATTCACTCAATAAGAGACTTAAATTTATTTTCTTCTTTGATATTTGAGTAAAAATACAATTTTATTACAAAGTAAAACCCCAAAAAGAACATGACCCATGTGACCATAGAAGTTTTAAAAGTTAATCATTAAGAGTTCACCTAGGGGAAAGCTTAAGTGCAGTACAAGACAGCCAGGAGCACCCTCAACATCTTTAGCTTGGGTCAAGAGCAGCCAGGTACCGTAAAATAAAGCCAGGTGCTGCATCTGTAACTCGAACTTTTGGAACTGTTGTTTATCATTTCAGCAGCACCATCACTCCCACTGGGGTGCAGCCTAGTTCAGTTTGGAGTCAGTTAATAGCAGCCAGAGACTTTAGCAGATGCTCAACTGGTAATTTGAAGCTTCTTCAGTTCCAGGCACTCCCATTTACCCCCAATCCCCATCCAAGTTCACCGTTCTACAATAAACCTAAAAACCAAATCCCCTAGACTGATTATTGAGCCATTGAAGAGTGTGGAAAATGAACAGCAGTATCTGTAGTTGCCATAATTTTGCAGAATCCTTGGATTCAACATTTTTTTTATTTTTAATGGAGCTAAACTATATTGAAAACTCTGTTTTTCACAAGTTCTAACTCAGCACACATGTACATAATAGTAGTAATACAAACTACTGGTAGAACAATAGTGTGCATTTTAGTAACATTTTTGAGCTTAGAAATGTGGTGTTACTTTGGACTTGTATTTTAATTTGCTATGATTTTGTTGCTTACATTTTAAACAGCACCCACCTTTAAGGGTTATTTTAAAAAGTATTTTTTTTTAGTGAACAGAACCAGACCAGAAGTAAACGTCCTCGGCAAACCAGGGCCACTGGCGGCAGAAGAGGAAAGCAAGTTAAAGAACCTGAGCCACAGCTTGAACCTGAACCAACTAATGAACCAGATCACAAACATGAGCAGGCCATTGAACCACAGCATGAACCTGAACCAAATATTGAACCAAATCACGAAGACAAGCAAGCCACTGAACCACATGGGTCTGAACTAGAGAATGAACCAGATCATGAGCAGGTCACTGAATGGCAGCATGAATTTGAGCCTGAAGATAAGTTAGGAATAGGGCATGATGTCCAGCAGGAATTCAGCCAGCAAGAACCTCTAGAGCACCTAGAGCATGATGAAGATCCAGTTGTAACAGTAACCGAAGATGAAACTGCAGAGACATATGCTGTACATGAAGAAGCTGATGGACACTTTCAACACGAGATCACCTCTTTAATGACAGGTATTATATTGTGGAGTTTAAAACGTCACAACTTGCTCAACCTACAAAGCAGGGAATCACAGTTAGCTTTTCTATTTTATAAATCTAGTTCTGAAATAAATCTCAATGTGACTATTTTACATGACATTGGCCTTGATGTTTACAAATCATAGCAGGCAAAACTGATTCAAGTCCTGCATTATTTACAGTTAAAAGTGGCAGCACAGTCAGAAGGAAAATGTTATCTATTTTATAGGGTGTGATATACAGTATATGGGTAGAGATTACAAGACACAATAATTAATGGCAGACAATATTCAAGAAACGGTCATGGTTAGTGGGCATGTTGCTGGTCCAGGGAAAGAAACACAATATTTCTCCAGAAAAGGGTGTCTGAAGGAAAATCAAACAGAAGATCATTGCATGATCTAGCCAAAATACAGCTAACTGGTCCTTTCACAGTTCAATCACAGACTGGGGAGGGACAACTTCATAGATTAAGCTAGATGTTTCTGGCACAGGATTTCTAAGGACAGTCAGATGGTGTGTATAGAGATGGGAAGGCCTGGAAAAAAACAGAATAATTGGGGGAATTTTTCTTTTTCCAGGGAAAAAAAAGGAATGTGGAATTTGTTATTTACAATGATAAATCATATATCTATGACATGGTATTCAAACTATATAACATGAAAACCTTAACGGAAGATATCTGAGACTTTATGTAAAGTCATAAATTATTGCAAGTTCTTCCATCTGAAGACAAGCGAATTCTGGAATACAAATCAAGTAACACTATACTTTTCAATGCAGTTGTCAAACAAGAGAAATATGCATTTCTGCTACAAGGGACACTGCATTGGAAATGCTCCAGTTTTCCTTGTGTGCTCCATCTTGTACCTCCTACAGTTGGGTGATTGTAGGGATACAGTAGACATAGCATCATGTTTACATATAGTCTGCTCAGTAAATTGTTTTTTTTTCCTCCTCTCAGTAAAATGGTGAGACCAACACCTAGAGTTTGGAAACCCTTCCACAGCACAATTTCTGTTGAGAGCAAAGCTGCAATTTACAAATATTGTGAGAACAAATATTTTCCAAATGCTACAAGGATGACAAAACACATCTTTGTATGCCAGAGGTACCTTAAAGACATTAACATTATGAAATGAAATTATGAGGACCATGGAAGTTGTAAAACTACTCCACACTGAATTTTTTTTTTAATTTTTCCAAAACAGGGGTAAAATGTTTTTTTCCCCATGGCTTCAAAATTTCTGGAAATGTTTGTACCTCTAGGTGTGTACACATCTGACTGCCTTCTGTATGTTTGCGAAAGTAAAGTCTAATAATGTATTATTTTATACAGTTCACTTGTACAAAAGGTAGTTAGATAAAAGCAATGGTCAACTCTGTTCTTTATTCTTGTAATTACAAAGATATAATTTTATAGATATACCTTCTTTGATAATGTTTACCTCTTTTTTTTTTTTTGTAATCAAGGTAAAGAAAAGGTGACTGAGGTGGAACCTGCGCCACTTATTCATCCACCTGAAGTTCTCAGATTCCCTGAACAAGAGGAACATCAATACTACACTCCACTACTGTAGAAAAAAAACACAGTAGGGTTAATAAAAAATCTTTTTTGTGTGTGTTTATATAATAAGAAAATATACTGCATTTTCTATGCATGTTAGGTTTTGAAGTCTGTAAGTTGTAGAATGACCATGTGTGTTTAGTAAGACATTTCTACTTAAGACTGACAGTTATTACCACACACCTCCTTGTTAATATGTGAGATTTTCAATAAATAGTTATTATTGAGTTACATTTCGGCTCTGTTGCAAAATTATTTTATATAATTGCACTTTGATAAGTCACATCTATACAATTTATATGTAGCAAGTACATCAGCCTAGATTGAAAAGTTTCATATGATGAAAACACTGAAATTATATATTTGGATAAAGGAATCCCTCAGTGGAATGGGTGGCATCATTATTATATTTTGTTGAAAATGTATGACTGATACAGTAGCTTTGCTTGTCAACTAGATGAATGATGCAAATTTGAGCAGGTGTTTTTTAAGCATGCTGCAATCTTTGAATCGTGAAAATGAACATAATTTCCTTTATTAAATATGGCAACTGACATAACAATGTTCAAGAAAACCCCATAATTTTGCAGTTGGCCATCTATTTTCATTGTTCAGACAGAAAATCCAATTGGTTACTAGAATTTACTTCATATCAATGCCTTATATATAAACATAAATATATTACTTTTGGTTAAAATTAGTATACATTGGTGTATTTAAAACTCAAGCAAAACATGGTAAAAAAATACACTGCCCAGCATATATTTTCTATAAATAAATTAACAGTCCCGGCTGCTATACTCATTCTCCAGTGCTGCCACCTGCTGACTCACCCACTCACCAATCTAGCATCATTCAACCCACTTCCTGTGAGCCCAGGGCATCAAGGGCCTGCACCCCACCCTGGTTTCAAAATCAGCACCACGTAATGAAAGCATTCAGGACATGCCCATTGCCAAAGAATGTAACAAAGACACCTATGAAAAAGGTATGGATACAGACTTAAAGAAAAAAAAAAGTGATCCAGTGACTAATTAGCCACTAGGATCACTTTTACATAAACGTGCATAGCCAGCTGATACAAAAAATACCAAGGTGATGCCTGTAGCTGCAGACATCATCCCAGTATAACCACTGAAATTGCAGGATGCCATATGATTTCCTAGGGGTGGGAGTGGGTTGGGTGTGGCAAGTGATGCAATCACAGGGTTTTGCAAGCCCCTTGTGTGTAAGTAGCCATTGGATATAATACCTCAGTGCTGGTAGAGCGCAATCCCATGTAGGTTTTGCCATTGTTTTCTATTGTTCTAATACATTTATATATTTCCATTGTTTGCTATCTCCTTGAGTTACAAAGAAGTGTATGTTGACCATAGGGATCAGAAGAGTGTTTTTTTTTAGAGGTAGATCAAAAATAATTCTATGAACACCAAAACCACTTTGGATTTCAACAAACTTCCATCTTTCCACAAAAGCCTTTACCGCTTTCTTCAATCTCTTCCACTTTTCTACAAACTCTTCCACTGTCTTTTCCACCAAGTTTTATTTAAAAACTCTACCAGACTTTTTACAATGTACCCTGATTTAGGACCCAGTATGTTACTAAATAAAATCTTCAATATAATGAAGCATGGATGACTGATACCTGTTTCAACATGAATGAATTTATTCAAAGTAGAATTCCAACCACCTCAACCTAACTAGTCTTAAAAATATACTTACTAACGTTTGTTAAAAAGATGTACAGTGAGAAACAGAAGTATTTGAACACCCTGCGATTTTGCACGTTCTCCCACTAGAAACCATGGAGGGGTTTGAAATTCACATTGTAGGTGCATTCCCTCTCCGAGAGACAGGATTTAAAAAAAAATTCAGGAAATCACATTGTATGATTTTTAAAGAATTTGTCTTGCTCTGCTGAACATAAGTATTTGAACACCTAAGAAACAGCAAGAATTCTGGCTCTCAAAGACCTGTTACTGTGCCTTTAAAAAGTCCACCTCTACTCCACTCATTAATCTAACTTAGTAGCACCTGTCTGAGCTTTTTAAAGACACCTGTCCACCCCACAGTCAGTCAGTCACCAACTACTACCATGGGCAAGACCAAAGAGCTGTCAAAAGACACCAGAGACAAAATTGTGGACCTCCACAAGGCTGGAAGGGGCTATGGGGCAATTGCCAAGCAGCTTGGTGAAAACAGATCAACTGTTGGAGCAATTGTTAGAAAAGGGAAGAGGCTAAAGACGACTGTCAGTCTCCCTCGTACTGGGGCTCCATGCAAGATCTCACCTCATGGGGTATCACTGATGATAAGAAACTTGAGGAATCAGCCCAGAACTACACGGGAGGAGCTGGTCAATGACATGAAGAGAGCTGGGACCACAGTTTCAAAGGTCACTGTCGGTAGAACACTACGCCGTCATGGTTTCAAATCATGCATTGCACGGAAGGTTCCCCTGCTCAAGTCATCACATGTCCAGGCCCATCTGAAGTTTGTCAATGACCATCTGGATGATCCAGAGGAGGCATGGAAGAAAGTCATGTGGTCAAATGAGACCAAAGTAGAACTTTTTGGTCTAAACTTCACTCTTCGTGTTTTAGAGGAAAAAGAAGGATGAGTTGCATCCCAAGAACATCATCCCTACTGTGAAGCATGGGGGTGGTAACATCATGCTTTGGGGGTGCTTTTCTGTGAAGGGGACAGGACGACTGCACTATAAGGAGAGGATGAATGGGGCCATTTATTGCGAGATTTTGAGCAACAACCTCCTTCCCTCAGTCAGAGCATTGAAGATGGGTCATGACTGGGTCTTCCAACATGACAACGACCCGAAGCACATAGCCAGGATAACCAAGGAGTGGCTCTGTAAGAAGCAAGGTTCTGGAGTGGCCTAGCCAGTCCCCAGACCTAAATCCAATAGAACATCTTTGGAGGGAGCTGAAACTCTGTGTTGCTCAGCGACAGCCCCGAAACCTGACAGATCTAGAGGAGATCTGTGTGGAGGAGTGGGCCAAAATCCCTGTTGCAGTGTGTGCAAACCTGGTCAAGAACTACAGGAAATGTTTGACCTCTGTAATTGCAAACAAAGGCTTCTGTACCAAATATTAACACTGATTTTCTCAGGTATTCAAATACTTATGTTCACCAGTGCAAGACAAATAAATTCTTTAAAAATCATACAATGTGATTTCCTGAATTTTATTTTTAAATTCTGTCTCTCAGAGTGGGAATGCACCTACAATGTGAATTTCAAACCCCTCCATGATTTCTAAGTAGGAGAACTTGCAAAATCGCAGGGTGTTCAAATACTTCTGTTCCTCACTGTATATATTTGCCTATATTCAGTCTGGTTCCCTTGTGTTAGCCAGCAGCAGCTGTAGGGAAAGGAGCGCTGACAATGAATAGACCATGGGAACCCATGGGTGACATCATCATTCCTGGCTTTCACCGCCCTTGTTGGGCGCTCTCACCATTACACTGCAGCTACCACTGGCTGACACAGGGGGGATCACATAACAAGTCTGGAGCAGGCTGAAAATAGGTAAATATATGCATCTTTCTTACACAGGGTTGTTAGCATAGGTGTTAGGGGGAGGAGGATGTGTTTTTAAGACTATTTAGGTGTTTGCTACAATTATATTCTAAAGTAACTTTGTCTTGGAGAAAAACAGGGCAGATATAGGTGTCCGTTTATGGACCAGTGGTAATAGATCGCTGCTCAGTTCTCCGGCATTCTCGGAGAACACAGTTCTCCTGTGAATGCAGTTTATGAAGCAGTTCTCCGAACGAAGGGAGAACGGTCTCCAAACGCTGGAGAACGGTCTACAAACTCTGAAAAACGGCTCATTTTACTATAATCTCGCCAGATTACAGTAAAAGATCAGTTTACTAAGCAGAGGTAAATTATCTCTGCTTAATTTTCGGTCCCTCTGATTCTCCAGCTCTGGGCTGGAGAATCTGGAGGGAGAACACAGATCTCCAGAGAAGGGCTGACATGATCTCCTGAGTGTCATAAACTGTGAATTACCAGAGAATAGCTGAGATCCGTTGAATCGCAGCTATTCTCTGTGTCATAAAAGGACACCATTGTTCAGGAATCTAATGGGAACTGGACACATCTCCAATTACAACCAAATACTGGACATTCTGACAAGCATCCAGGTTAGTGTCAGTGTTACCTCCAGTCCCTACACAATGCTAATGGCCCATCACCCTTGGTGGGATTGCCACTGGCCAATAGGGATTCACAGGTAACAGGAAGGGGCCTGCATGCTGAAATTGCAAGAACAGACCCATGTTCAGCTGTAACTGCTAGTTTTTGTAGGTTGTTGCAGATGCTGTAGGTACCTGCAATTTAAACCATCAGTAGATAGATTCTCTTTAACATGAGCATGAAACCAAATTAACTAAAAGTTGTAAAAAGAAAAGTAGGTGCTACTACTCATCCAATGTTCATCCCAGGAACAAGGCAGGTGCGTGATCCACAGTTGCTTATCCGTTCCAGAATTAAATTAAATTGACCTGCACTACAGCCATTGTTCTAAAATCTTAATTTTGTTAAATTGACTACAGTAAAAATAGGGTTATATGGGTTATGACTAAGGCTTTTTAAGCTGAAAAGCATCAGCCTTTGTACCTGTGATGATTTTACTGTGGTCAGTTTAATAAAACAAAGATTTTAGAACAATGGTGGTAGTGCGGATCGATATTTTTTTTAAAGCTAAAAGTTGTGCCACAGAGCTGACAGCATAGAGTGTTAAATCTCACTGTTTTCTTCAGAATGTGCCCATGTAAATATTGACTTTCTCAAAGTCAGAATATGCATACCCATGCCAAGGTCTACCAAAAGATTATCAAAAAATGCGTGTTCTCCACTAGGAGTTCAGAGAGATACTTCTAGTCTACTTTGGGCAGCAGTGGAGGGGTGCCAAGCAAATGGTATTAGCTTGTAAATTAGTAAGTCACCTATCTGCAATAAATTTAGTTTGATTTACTTTTTTGTGCTTTGTT